TCCATTCATCTGTCCATCCATCCATCCATCCATCCATCCATTCATCCCTCTGTCCTTCTATTCATCGTCCATCCACCATTCATCCATCCACCATCCATCCATCCCTCTGTCCATCCATCCATCCCTCTGTCCATCCATCCATCCATCCATCCATCCATCCATCCATCCATCCATCCATCATCCATCCATCCATCTATCCCTCTGTCCTTCCATCCATCCATCCATCCACCATTTTACACAGTTTTTCATTCATCATGAGGTACTGGTGCCTATCTCCAGCAGTCTCTGTGTGAGAGGTAGGGTACAGGTCATAAGTCCATCACAGGGACACACAGAGACAAACAGCCACTATCTGACAACATGTTAACCTAACATGCATGTTTTTGGTCTGTGGGAGGAAACCAGAGAAAAGCCAAACGGATAACTGTTAACCACTCCTTCTCTGTGCCGCCCTCGTTGACGTTAGCCAACACAACAATGGTTATAGCTTAGTCAGCTTTACAGATACTAATTAAAATGTGGATGTGGTAGTAGATGAGTCATTCACAACACATACTGGTGTGACCATTGACTCCATCTGGCCACCCCTTTGAAAACCTTTAGGGTACATCCCTGCCTATTATTGCTGCCAATAATTTTGTGGTTTGGATGTAATTTTTCTTTAATTAAAGACAAGTTAGTGTCCTGGTAGATTGTGTTTTTGTTTGTGTCCCTTTATGGCTTCATCCGGCAGATGGCTCTACATTCTAAATCTGGTTTGCTGTTAAAACAAACTTCTCTTTTTGTTTGTTGCCTGCTGCTTTTGCACTCTGAGGATGAGGAACTGACGTGAAATGAAAATTTAATGCATTTCATTGCCATTTTTTTACTTTTCTACAAAATGGTATTTTGTAAATACTAACACCATCAAATGGACAAGTATCAAGTTAAATTAATTTATAATTCAACAATTTCCATGTTGCTCCCAGAGATGAATTTTGTTGTGAATCACATCTGCATAAATGATGCTCTGAAAAGAATTATGGCTCTTGCATTCAACCTGACGATGAAATATAAAATAAAGCCAGGTGTGAATGTCACAGGTTGCTTTTTTATTACATGAATAAGTCAGGGGTAGTAAATTCACCTTTTTCACTTACAGCATCCACAAATGCAGCTTTTGATGCCAAATAGGTTTAGTTTAGAACAAATTAAAATTAAATTCCGTGACAAAGACTTGTTAATTCATAGAAGAATGAGCAAATCTTTCAAATCTTTAAGGATGCAGTTTGTGACTAATTACTTTTTACTGGAGGAAGTCGTCAAGACAAAATGTGGACATACAGAATGTACTCTATGATGCTTAATAATGAATGGTTACTGTCTTGTAAATGTAGTAAGATCTTATGACACTTGGGTGCAAAACTTAAAAATATGATGCTCGCCCAACAATAATTTTGTAATTTGTGAGGAAACGTTAAGCAAACTTTGACCTAAACAAACAGAAAGGTTAAAAAATATCTGACTTATTTTGTTTTGCTCTCTCCCAACAATCAAAACTTTATTTTACTTCGAAACAAAACCATAAAAAGCAGCGCTGTGCTGTCACTGAGGCAATGAAAGGCAGAAAAAACAAAAACACAAGAACAAAACAGAAGTATCTAATAGGAAGAACGAGACAACCTGTTCCACAGTTCAGGAGAAACAGAGGAAATCATTTTTACCTACAGAATATATATATACAGTATATGCTATATATTTTTGGATGGTTGTTTTTGACAGAATAAATGCACAGCAGAGTCAGCGGTGTCACCTCTTTGTTCACGCTACATTGGTAGAACTGGACACTGAAAGTTTCACGTGTTTCCAACTCCAGTTACACAAATGTGCAGGTTGTTGTGTCCCTTCTTGACTCAACTCACAGCTTTTCACGCTGCAGTTTTAAATTACAGAAAGGAATTTATCCCATTTGTCAGGAGGCCGATGAACCTCGGTGAACCACCGAACCAACCGATCCTAAAAAAAGGGGCTGCTTTTTTTACGCTGGCTCAGTTCTGCTGCAGAGAGGCCGCAGAATTGGTGACATTGTAATTAGGATTGAACAGATTTAAGAAAACTCACTCACATTGAATAATCTTCTCAAACTTGTCACACTTTACAACTTTAAAACATGCTTTCGCCACATTTTGTGTCACACAGGATTATTGTTGACCTTTCTGGTTTAGCGCCATTACAAACATACTGGTTCCTTTACAGCCTCGATAATCATTAAATCCAAATGCAAATGTGCTCTATTTAGGTGGAAACAACCAAATCATGTCACCTTTAAAGGATCACACTGAAGTAAACGCTTAAAACTAAATCAGTGCATTAAAAGAAATAAAAAATGACAGGTTTACCTGGGTTTGATTGTGTCCATTTTGCTTCATGCAGTCATCTTTGGTTTCTGTTCACGTTCTCCTCTCCTGCCTCTCTCTCTCTCTCACACCTGACGGGTCCCTCCCTCCTCAGGCTTTCATCTGCGAACCCGGCCGTCTCTGCAACTGGCCTGACGGGAACAACTGGATTCTGCAGCCAACAAATCAGTGCTCAGGGTTGGTTAATGCGTCGCAGTGAAAGGAGCTTAATGGAGCAGAGGTGGCAGCAGGCCTTCGTGTCAATCACTTTTATCAATCATCCTGAGCAGACAGGAGGAAAATCAGATGAAAGGGAAAAAAGAGAGGACGTTTGAGGATGAAGGAGTTTGTTAGGAAAGAATGCAAGTACAGGAAGAGGAAAAAAAAACTGAAAAGATCATATTTGGTTAAAAAAAAAAGAAAAAAGACAAAGATCTTTTTGTTTTATCCATAAAAATTCCAATAAAAAAGTTCTCACGTTGGAATGTGGACTGGCAGCGTGCCTGCTGTTAAATACAATTACATCCTCAAATATCTTCCTCCTTTTCTGTCTAAACACAGAACCGCAGCTCAAACACGTTAATTTGCAGCACATTTATTCAAAAATCAGAGAACAACACCAACAACGAGTGTGAACACAGTGTTGAGCAGGATAAAAGTGCTTCGGTTTTACAGGTCTTCCTCTCATTCGTATCTGATTCAAGTCGAGACGAGGCGTGTCGTGTTCTGCGAAACACTTATGAATAATGCTTTTATAATAGGGCTTAAAAGAATGCTACTGAGGCAGTAAAAAGCCTGAAAAACATGGAAGGCTCCGATCTGCACAGAGGAGGAAGAACAAACTTCCTCAGCTTTGTTACATTTAATAACATTGGTTCATTTTTTTTGCAGCCGAGTAACTGGAAATGAATTTTTAAGCAGTTCATTCTTTGATGTTAATTAGTCACCATTTTCCCCAACAAAAATACTTTCTCCAAATGTATGCGATCATGTCTAAGTGTACACCGCAGGTAGAATCATGAAAATTCATCATACAATCAATCACGTTTTGTAAAAGACTTGTACAGAAAAAAACAACCTGCCACATATAAAGTTCACAAATTTATCATGAAATCAGTGACTTAATATAAAAAACTACAGTTCGCAACAATAAAACTGTTTTTGTTTGCTCCAACACACGTTTGAAAGATACTTTTCTTTTCAGCACAAAAACAGTTTGGAAATAAAATGACAATAAAAGGCATATAAATTGCATTTATGAATAGAATGCAAACCTTAAAACTTTGTTTGGAAAACCCTAAAGTTATTTTAGAAAAACAAAAGATTTATTACAAATTCATTGTTCTTTGACGCCAGCGGTAAGACAAAATGTCTCGGAGGGTCGGGACATTTAAACTCATTAAAACTTCACAAATTGTTCAACTAAAGCATTCATTGTGCAAATTTTTAAAACATGCTTTGTGTAAACAAACTTGGACAGTTATTATCCATCTTTGACATGAATTATTTTTAAATAAACGAGCAGTGAACTTTGCAAAGTTCTGCTGATGAAGATGAACCAGTAGAAACATCTGCTGGGCAGATACAGTTTACCAAAACTTTTTTAAATAACTTTAATAAAACCTCAAGATTTGTTGATAATTTTTTTTAACTAGTCCATTTTGTTTTATTTTTAATCATGAATTTGTATTATTCTTATTCGTTTTGGATTATCTTAAATTTTAATGCAAATACAGTCTCAGTTGAACAATAAAGGGACCAAAATACCATAAATTCCAGACTATAGGCCGCTACTTTTTTCACAGACTTTGAACACCATGGCTTATGCTGTAGACAATTTCTGGATTTTTTTTTTTTTTTTTTCTGTCTAACGAGCTTCATGCCACCAAAATATTTCACCTCGTCACACCCTCACACAGCTGCCCAATGCACGTCTCTCTTGGAGGGTGGATTCTTGTGACTTAATGAGACTATGTGTACACTATAAATAAAAGGTAAAAAAAATATGACCAATGAAATTACGGAACAGGTCACAGTGGACCGATGAAATGGAGAAGGTAGGAAAGAACGGAAGGAATCCCCCATTCCCCGTGGGGGGGGGGGGGGGGGGGATTCCCCTGCATGCGCTGCCAGTAGATCCTGACAGTGGAGCAGGAGGAATATAAAGATAGCGATCAATGACTTCTTGGTAGGCCACAGTATTTTTTTTAACCAGATGAGTTACAGGCACTGCAGAAAAAAAAAAAAAACATTTACTGTACGCATTTAAAGTTTAAAAAACGCTTTGTGTAAATATCTCGTTACAACGTGGACACCCGCGGTCAATAGACAAGGGTGGTCTATATATGTACAATTGTTACTATTATTTTAATTTAGTGGATGCGGCTTATATTCAGGTGCGCTCAATAGTCCGGAAATTACGGTAACTAAGCCGATATAAATATTCACAACTTTCGTCCAATAAAAGACCCATCAGAGATATATAGATATATTTCCCTCCAAAACTATATAAAATACATTTTCCCCTTGATGTAAAAAAATAAGTTATTTAGAAATGCTGGTGAGATTCAGTTGACTTTTAACAGCGTTATGCTTAATGTTTTGCCTGTTTCCTAACTTTAAGCTGCAACAGATGAGCTTCATATCTGCTGTGTGAGCTCAGTCTTCACATCTTCCTCACAGAAAGAGTTCTAGATTGTTTTAAAAACATATTGCAGAAAGTTCTTTGAAAAAAATCATCTGTCAAAGTCCAACGTTCTTTGTTCCGATGTGAAATAAAACTGACTCTCTGCTTGTAGCACCTCATCTCTGCAGAGCGAGTCTCACAGAACAATACTTGGTCTCAGAAGCTTCGTTTTTTTTTGTCCAACTTGGCGAGCGCACTGCATCACTGAATGGTATACTTTGTCTCCAGTTCCTCGGCGGCCCAGCCCAGGTGCATCAGTCTCAGTTTGTCCAAGAGCTCCTCCAGAAGAGGCCGGTGTGACATTTCACCTCTCCCCCTTCGTACGCTCCTCTGGGCCCAAACCCGCATCATCTGATAGTGAGCCTCCCGGCTGGACCTGTGGTCCATCTCAGCATGTTCGATCTCTGTGTCCCTCACGCCGAGAGAACGTACCAGCTGCTTCACCTGCGACACCGGAACCAGATCCAGCACCGTGTAGATGAGGTCAGCGACTGCAGAGGAGGAGAAGAGTTAGAACAGATGTTTGCTACTGGCTTAAGTCTGCACGCACTGCTGTGTAGGCACAGACCAATTAAGGTTTCAGGATTTACCACTGTGTTAAAGCATCACATGGCTTGGTTATAGGTATAAAAACCTGGAAAGATTTAGAATAGAATAGGTCTTTATTGTCATTGCACAGCCTGAACAATGAAATTAAAGGTCCTTCAACTGACCGTGTGTTGATTCTAGTTTTGCTTCTTTTTAACATCCATCCATCCATCCGTCCATCCATTATCTTTACCTGCTTCTTCCATTCTGGGTCACAGGTGTCACTGGTGCCCATGTCCATATTTCTACCCTTTTAAAATCCCTTCTTTGTGAACGATGCTGACAGGCCACAGCAACTTGTACATTAAAAGGTTCTGGTCTGACAATTTTGTTATATTATTTAAGGTACAGTAACTGGAGAAGATATCACTTCTAATGCCTTAACTACCTTGTTTAGAGTGCGGAAGATAGGATCTGTGTTTGGTTTGTTGCTGCACCTGCTCCTCTTTGTCCCTCCCCAGGTGTTCGTCATTATGTCTCGTTTGTGTCCCTATAAGTTCTGTGTCTTTGTATTCCCTTGTGGTCCGTGGATTGTGCTCTCCAGCCGTCATGTTCTGTCTTCCTCTGCGTATCCTTGCTCCTGTGATCAAGTGAGTTTTTGCTGCCACGTCAGCCTGTTGTCTATATAAATAAATAGTGTGTTTTATTTTATTCCTGAGTTCCCCGAGACCCGTCTGCATTTGGGTTCAACGCAAAATGCAGAACATGATGGCGGCTCACGTCACTTACTTTCTCTCATGCTAAAAATAACTTATTAGCATTCACAATGCTGAGCAGGAGGCTACTACTCAGTGGTGTCTCCAGAAATTTGAATAAGGTGGCCATGTGGGGGCCACTAAAAATCCTCAACAATATCTTTAGGGGTGGTCATTGCCCCCACATGGGCCCACCATGGTGGCACTTCTGCAAAAGCTGCTAAACTAAATTGTTATTAAGTAATATGTGATATTATTTAGGCAGGGAAGTTAGTAATAGTTTTATTTTTGTTTTTTTAATAAAAGCAAAACATGATGCATTTTATTTTATTTATTTATTGTAATTCCGTTTTTTGGCTCTAAGTTATTACACCGACAGAATCTCATCGCGGCCTGTGCCTAATGCCTGATACTCACTCCAGATCTCCAGGAGCACACCGTCAGGCAGCTTTGATAACTCCTGCTCACTCTGAGGACTCGGACCAGGGGCCTTCAGACTGAAGACCTCTGCAGGTTCTTTAATGTTGATCAGGAGGTGCTTGAAGAAAGAAGCAGAACATGTGTTACTCACTGTAAATGTGCTCCAAGCTGACAAAAGTAACTCGTGGTCAGGTCAAGATACCTCTTTTGTTTCTGTGGAAACATCTGCAGGTTTGGAGGACGGACTCAGCAGCTTGTTCTTGGTGAAGCGTTTTGTAGCCATGAAGGTGATGAACCCCACCACCAACACCAAAACCACAACCACAACAACTGACCCAGCAATGATGTTTATGAGCAGACTATTTTTGTCGTTAGAACCTGAAAGAGGAAGCAGAGACACACCAACGTTAAAAAAAACAAACAAGACGACATTACATTCTGTTGTCAACAAAGAAATGTGCACACGTTTTAAAATACCTCTACATTATTTAGCTTTGCTTCCAAGGAGCCAGACAGTTTGCAACCAGTAAAAGAGGTTTCCAGTAGTTTTTCTGGCTTTCAGGTGGTCTTTCAAAGATTTGTTAGTTTAGCAGCTTTTTAAGCACATTTTCTGTCCAGTTATTACAGTTGACCATGACATCATTTAAAATATGAGCATTATATACAGCACCAGAATGGACAGAAATCCATTTCCCTTAAAACTACTTATATTTAAGCAATCCTTTAATATGAATTTTTTTCTCTCCATGTAATAAATAATTCATCAGACATCTGGGCTGTAGTTAATACCCAAATGAAGTCTGATTTAATTTTAAGAGAATAAAAACTTTTTGAAATTTGTAATGCGTGCTATATAATGAGAAAACAACATTTCTCTATTTCTGAAATATAGCAAAGGTAAAAAGAGGGTGCAGTAAAAATGTTGGCAGCCGACTCAGGACCCGAAGGTCCTGTGTATGTATGCAAGTATGTATGTATGTATATATGTATGTGTATGTATAGAATAGAATAGAATAGAATAGAATAGAATAGAACAGAATAGAATAGAATAGAAACAGCCTTTATTGTCCCACGGATGGGAAATTCCAGTGTATCAGCAGCAACAGATAAAAAGATAAAAAGATTTAAAGATTTCACACAAAAGTTCCTAAAATGTTAATAAACAATACAATATATAAAAAATAAGATAAACAATATCAATAATAATGTTCAATATGTATTGGAACATTGAGAATGGCAAACTATTTACAGTACAGTATCACAGGCAGAGTGTATGTTTAAGCAGAGGTCAGCATGTATTTAATCCTTATTGAGTTTGTTGGGAGCAGTGATGGTTGTAGAGTCTAACAGCTGCTGGGAGGAAGGACCTGCGGTAACGCTCCTTTGTGCATTTAGGATGCAGTAATCTGTCACTGAACAAGCTCTCCAGTTCAGCTCAGTATGTATGTGTATGTATGCAAGTATGTATGTAAGTATATATGTATGTATGTGTATGTATGTATCTATGTATGTGTATGTATGTATATGTATATGTATATATATATATATATATATATATATATATATATATATATACACACATATACATACATATATATATGTGTATATATATATATATATATATATATATATATAT